TGGTCGTGTTATATTAAGATGCTCATAAGAATGAAATAATATTTTGAACTACGTATAAATACATTAATGGTTATAGATGTGAGTCGCCGAATCAAAAACTCTACATTTAAGAACTAGGAATACATCCAAGTAAAAACAAAACTTAAAATAACAAATATATCAAATCTGAAATCAATATAATTCACCATTAATAATTATTAATTGTAGGTGAAAAAAAATCATTGGAAAAGATTTTCGAGTAGTTATGTATAAACTATAATCCACTGGTTCAGATTTCTAAACGATAATCGCAGTTTTCGGATTATGGCATCGTTATTATTAACGTTAAAAGTAACTATATTAAGAAAATATAAAACTTATTTTTCAAATAACCAACAGTATACAATTTAAGATCTACACAAATATTCTATGAAATTATAGAGACTTTTTACTGCTAGAAATAAGTAATAGTTTAGCTAAGAAATCTTGCAAAACAATGTACTCTTTACTAGAATCATATCAATTGTCAAACAACAACCTAAAGTTTCGTATTTGGCATACATAGCCCTTTTATTTTTATTTTGTTCGCATAAACTTATTGTACTTATATCTTGTTTTTTAGTATTATACTTTTGTCTATCTATATAATATATAAACGAAAGTGTCAAGAGTCGAACCTATTAGAGTCATTGACTTGGAATATTGAGGATAGATTAATATTATTTCACCATGCATTAAAAAATGATTTTTAAAAATTTTGATTTTAAGGGGTTGAAATCGGCAAAAATAAATTTTTACGTATAAATTGTACAAAAGAACCTCGATTATCCAAGCCTCCGTTATTCGAATCCTCTATATACTTATATAAATATTAAAGTGTGTTTATCAGGGTGTCCCGTGAGGATTTCCCCATTGCGATATCTCCCGAAATAATGGTGATATCGAAATCTCTGATATTGTAATAAGACTCAAATAAAAATTGTGAATTATTTAACACCGTAATGCTAACAAACATGTGACCCACCGCGCCGCGCGCATACCCACCCATCCGGCCGAATACTTTCCGTGTTCCTTATAGTTATAAGTTTATAAAATTATAACTTATAAACATATTTTATTTTTTCAAAACTAGAAAAAATATTAAAAATTTGTAAATTAATGAAAATAAAATATTGAAACGTCAATGTTTTCAGAAAAATAAACTCTACAAAATGGCTATCTTTTATTTTTTTGTAAATAATTAAATAAAAAATGAAATAATTGTAGTWCTTATACCTGTAAATCTTGTTATAAAACCAGAATTTTGATATCTCCATTATTTCGTGAGATATCACAATGTGTAAATCCTCGTGGGCCGGGCATGCTGTATAATAAACTATTAAATAATAATAAAAGTCAACTGAAAACTTTGGTGCACGTGTTGGAGGTAAATGTCAATTATTATTTATACATTTCATAATGTTATCTTATCCGTAAATTATTTTACACATTTTTATATTATTATCGAAGGTTAAAGTTTATTTTTTCCTAAATTCATCATATAAAAGGGATAAAAGGTAATAAAAGTTAAAAATAAAACATTAATTTTTGGTCGGATTTTTATAAAACTTAAAACGACACAAACACTCAAACAGATGATAGATGTACAAGCGAAGTTACTGCCAAAAGCTATGATAAATAAAATGAATAATGATGATAAAATTATCAGCTTAATAACTAATTAATATAATATACACTCAATGTCCCAAGAGACTTTATAATTATTGTGATATCTCACGAAATGATGGAGATATCAAAATTCTGGTTTTGTAATAAGAACTACAATTATTTCATTTTTTAATTTATTTTAATGTTTTGGTAAAAAAGTTAAAAAATATATTTTTTCATTTAATAATTCCAAAAAATTAAATATAGGTAGCCATTTTGTAGAGTTTATTTTTCTGAAAACATTGACACTTCAACATTTTATTTTTATTAATTTCCCGTTTTTTAATATGTTTTCTAGTTTTGAAAAAAGAAGATATAATTATAACTAGGCACACTGAAGTGTTCGGTCGGCCGTATGAGAATGAATACGAGCGGCACGGCATGTCATTAGATTGATAACACAACGGTATTAATAATTCGTAATTTTTCTCGAAACTAAAAATAAATAAAAATCAGGAAATTAACTAAAATAAAATTTCGAGACGTCAATATTTTCAGAAAAAAAACTACAAATTGGCAAATTGGCTATCTTTAATTAAATAAAAAAATATTTTTTTAACTTTTTTAATAAAGCATTAAAATATGAAATAATTGTATTTCTTATCCCTGTGAGTCTTATTACAAAACCAGAATTTTGATATCTCCATTATTTCGGGAGATATTGCAATGTTATATCCTGTATATGAAATATTTTTTAAACAATATTTAATCCTCCCAAATAACAAAAGTACATACATTTTTTATACTTAAACCCGGCAGCGACGTGTAATTCAGATAGTAGCTACTATAATAAAAACCGACTGAAAATAATTATAAAAGATTAAAATAAATAATCTATCTTATGTCAGAGCTATTTATAATTAATTTTCCAAATTTTTCTTATATGGACCACCTATACATCCTGTACTGTCCAACAACCCACATAATATACACTATAATAATTAAAAATAATTACGTCAACAAATAAAACATCTTTATTATGCACGCACGTATCATAAGTATGTAGACAATGAACTAATAACTAATGGTGTATGGAATTATGTATTTTTGAAAAATCAGAATATTAGAATCATATTAACTTTCGTAATTTATTGAATATTCTACAATCAGTTCCTATAGCTAATATACTAGTTAATTAGTTTAGCAGAGGGTCATATTATTATGTTGTATTTTATAATAAGCATATTTTTAATTTTATTCCGTTGAGTATCATAAAATAAATACTTTCCAAAAAAAAAAATAACAATAATAACAGCAATATTTCTATACATTGAAGTTAAAAAGAGGGCTTCGTTGTGATGTAGGTAGTCCTAAAAAAATGTATGAGTACACCTAAATCATTGATGGAAAATGACATAAGGGCTCCATCCCCACGGCCCACATCCTTAATACTTCGTCAATTGTTTTACAAATACAATATTAACTAATGATAAATACTGATTATTAGTATAGTCTAATAGCCTTATTAGGCCCGGATTTTTATAAAAATGCGAATAATTTTGATTAAAGATTTCAACATTTCGTGCTCTGTAGAGTCTATAGCAATTTTTTTTTCGCATATTTTTGCATATTTGAATGAAAATAGGTACATATTAATTACATAATTCTATATAGTTACATAAAAGTCGCATTTTTTTATATTTGCTAGGGAAAGCGAGTTTGATTCCGAAATAAAAATTACGACAATCTTAAAAATTTCGAATTTTAAATCGCATTTCGTAACTTCATGTTGGTACTCGTTTCAAAATTAAAATTAATTTATTTTTATTTTTATTAATTTTATATTTAATTAATTTAGCTATAGGTTTAATAGTTTGTATATATTTTTTAAGCATAGGTACGTATACTATTTTTTAAATTGTATTTTTTTCACATAATATATTTTTAAATTATTTTAAGAAATTCAGTTTTTTTTAGCACACAAAATAGATTTTTTTGCATATTTTTGAATTTTAGAATGCATAAATAAAGGCAACCACAAAAAAAGATTAAAACAGCGGTGGTTTCGGGACCTGCTAATCTAGCAAATATAAATCTAATATAACTGTAATATAATGTCATAGTAAATGCATATATTATAATATGTACAGTACTCGTATATAATGAGTAGATAACCGATAAAGTGGATTTAATGGAAGGCTTCTTTAATCCGTTTTTATTCAAGCCATAAACTCTTCTATCTATTTTACTTATTGTACTAATTAGTAACATACCTATTGTAAAGTATATAGTAAAAATAAAAAATAAATAAAAAGTATTATAATAAATAAACTGAAAAAGTGTAAAATTTAACACAACATATAACTGAACGAGTAAAACTTTAAAAAATATATATAAAATAAAATAATATTTTACATAATTTTTCCAAAAATGGTGAAAATAAATTATGTATGATTTAAATAATTTATTATCATTTGTAATTACTAATTCGATAATTTGGACATAATCAGGTTATGAACACTATGTGGTCAAACATTTTTTCTTTAAAAAAAGGATTATATCGTTCGAAAATTTTTCGTAAATGAATTGTAGCCACCATATACATTATTCATTTCAGTTATTACGTCTTATTACCCAGTTTTTTGAAATATATATCTTTACATTGAAATTATATTATTAATTTATTATATAATATTTGTATGTATGGTTTACAGAATAACAAAACAAACCGTTCGACAATTATAGGTATAATAAAAAGTGTGATACAAAAGATACAGGCCATTGAGACTGATATGTTATTAAATTTGAAAGCAATGATAGATCATCAAATTTTAAAACTTGTTTGAGCACAAGAATTATAGTATTTTGAAATACTCAAACTAATACAAATAATGAATGATGAGTGATCATATAAAAATTTATTGAATACATATACACAATACACTCTAGAGATGAATATTGTGAATTGTATATAAATATTTACTTAATATTTGTGCAATAATTAAGGTAACAATACCTACTTAAATAAAGAATATATTATAAAAGTTTAAAATTAAAATTACTTATAGAATATTGAAAATTGTAAATACATTGTAAATACATTTTAAAATATAATGTGTAAATATTAAACGTTACTGATAATAATAGGTAGGTTATTTTTTTTATGAAATATATTATCAACTTATAATTGAATATTTTATTCTTGTTTTTTGTAAGTATCACAAATGAGCATAAATCATTATTATTTGGACTTTTAAATTAGAAATCCTACTTGTAACAAACAACACCTTACTTCTTTGACATTTTAAATAATATTTTAATCACAGACTGTACCTGCATCAGTTTTTAATGAATGAAGTACTTTTTTGTTACAGATATTAATACTGACAACTTTAGTAAGTTTCTATAACATAGTAGAAGCTGAAGATAAGACACTAGTTAGAATACGAAGAGAACCACCTTCAAAGTATGGACCACCAAAACCATCAAGACCCAGACCAATTTATGGACCACCAAAATCTAGTGGTCGACCTAAACCAGTATATGGCCCACCACCAAAACCTAAATATGGACCTCCACCAAAGCCGAAATACGGTCCACCCAAACCAAATTATGGACCACCAAAGCCAAATTATGGACCTCCAAAACCTGTATACGGACCACCACCAAAGACAAAATATGGACCCCCTAAACCAGTATATGGCCCTCCATCAAAACCAACGCAATCTTACGGACCACCAAAACCAGTTTATGGACCACCATCATCTGGAGCAGGATTTAAACCATCCACTTCATATGGAGTACCTCCATCATCGTCATATGGAGCACCTCCGTCATCGTCATATGGAGCACCTCCGTCATCGTCATATGGAGCACCACCATCGTCTTCATATGGAACTCCACTAACCTCTTCATATGGAGCACCTCCATCATCGTCATATGGAGCTCCGCCGTCGTCTTCATATGGAGCTCCACCGTCGTCTTCATATGGAGCTCCACCATCATCTTCTTATGGAGCACCTTCACAAAGTCAATCATCTTATTTGAAATCTTTTCCTTCCTTAACATATGATGCTCCATTGCTACCTTCTTCTTATGGCGTATCATCTCCTCCCTCATCATCTTATGGTGCACCAATACGACCATCGTCATCATACGGCGCACCTTCACAACCATCATCATCGTATGGTGCACCTTCACAACCATCATCATCATATGGTGCACCTTCACAACCATCATCATCATACGGCGCACCATCACAACCATCGTCATCATATGGTGCTCCATCGCAACCGTCGTCATCCTATGGTGCACCATTACAACCATCGTCATCATACGGAGCACCATCACAACCATCATCATCATACGGTGCACCATCACAACCGTCGTCATCATACGGTGCCCCATCGCAACCGTCGTCATCATACGGTGCCCCATCACAACCGTCGTCATCTTATGGAGCACCATCACAACCATCATCATCATACGGTGCACCATCAAAACCTTCATCATCATACGGTGCACCATCGCAACCATCGTCATCATATGGTGCACCATCACAACCGTCGTCATCATACGGTACCCCATCGCAACCGTCGTCATCATACGGCGCCCCATTGCAACCGTCGTCATCATACGGAGCACCATCACAACCATCATCATCATACGGTGCACCAACACAACCTTCATCAGCATACGGTGCACCCTCACAACCTTCATCATCATACGGTGCACCATCACAACCATCGTCATCATACGGTGCACCATCACAACCATCATCATCATACGGTGCCCCATCGCAGCCATCGTCATCATACGGTGCTCCATCACAATCGTCATCATACGGTGCCCCATCGCAGCCATCGTCATCATATGGAGTACCATCATCACCATCTTCTTCTTATGGAGCACCATCACCACCAGCAACATCTTATGGGATACCGACAAATAGCTATAACGCACAATTTTCTAGTAATTCGATTTCAATAACTCCTTCCGTTTCACTTCCTGTCCCATCAAGTTCATATGGAGCACCTTCCAATGGACCCTCGTCTTCGTATGATGCGCCATCAAATATACCATCATCTTCATATGGCACTCCTTCTAAAGTGCCATCATCATCCTATGGCACCCCAACTTCTGGATCATTTAGTTCATTTGGTTCTTCTTCTCATAGTAACAACTTAGATTCATTTAATATAGGAAGTTTATTTAATTCCCGGACTCAATTTAGTGCACCAATACCTTCAATTACCTATGGTTTACCTAAAGGAAATGGAGATGTTCAAGGATCTTACAGCAGCATATCAAACTCTGTTTCATATCCAGAACCCAGTTCTCAATCAACAATGGTTAACTCATATGGAGAACCAACTAATAACAGAGATTTAAGCCAATCATCAGAAGACTCATTTCACGTAGTCAACTCACAATACAATACTCAGAGTCCAGATACACACACAACACCATCAAATATATTACAAAGACGCCACAAAGAATCTTTAGAAAGTACTGATAGCGTGTCATCTTCAAATTTAGATGAAAAACTGAAGGGTAAAAAAGTAGTTGTAAATGATAAGCTAAATGCGTACCTAAAATACATAGCTAAGAGTACACAAAAGCCAGATATAGGTTTTCAGGCACCTAAAAAGACTATTAGTTTTAACTACGAAGAATCACCATCTCAAGTAAACGATAGTCTTGCTTCACTAAATGATAATTCTCCAATAAATCATAGAAGTAATGAATACAATTCTGAACAAAATTCAAGTATTCATACTTATTCTGACAATCAATGGAAAATCACTGAAAGTCTATGATGATAAAATTACAAAATTCTGTACTTAATACTGTTATTTTAACGTGTTTAACTATTACAAAATATAAATATGCAATATTATTTTGCCTATTCTCAAATTTAGCTACATGAAAAATTATTGTAGATACAAATATAATCAAGCAACCTATTTTTTGCCAATATTTAATGGTGAGTCATTTAAATTATATAGTAATAAATTAAATAATAAGATTTAGACGTATAAATATTAAATATATACCAAATTTAAATATTATATATATTTTACCTATGTACTTTTTTTTTTTTACGTTAAACCAAAGGTAAAATAAATTTACAAATTTATGTAATTTACTTGTAATAACCTTAATTATTAAATATAACCAGTGTAATATAAAGGATATATAGTGATAAAAACACACTTTTTATATTCAAATCTAAAAATGTGTGGTTTTTTTACTTTGTACTTAATATATAAATGTATGATTTAATTTCAATAAATTTAAATAAATAAAATATGAGAAACAATATCTATTATTTTGATATTACCAAATATTAAACATTTTAAAAACAAAATAAATCATACAAGTGTACTGTGTATGCAATATTGAATATAACAATGAAAATAAGTCCTTCATATAATATCATAATAAATAACTCAAATTACTAATTATATCATAAGCTGTGTTTCAACTAATGTTTTATGTAGCAAATTATTTCAAGAAAATTGAATTGTCACAACAAAATAAAATCTTACCTTAGTTTCAATAAAAACTGTCCATTCTTCTGTAGCACAGTATGGTAAGAATCTGTCATAAAAATTTCCACTATATAAGACTTCTGTTAAATTTGGGAGTTCAGAGTTAGAAATATTTAGTGGCTCAGATAATTTAGTAATCAGAGTTTTTACTAATGGTAAAATAAAAGAATAGCGTTCCATATTTTCATCTGAAACATATTTAATTATTTTTTTACTGTTCCAATTATTTTCTAATTGGAAGCTTTAAATTTGATTTACCTTTAAGTGCTTTTTGTAAAATACTATTTGCTGATCGCAATAAATAGCATTCAACTTCTATAACACTTTTATTACTTGTTTGTAATATAGTGTGCAATTTAACTGTTGCCATAGCACAAATTTCCATAATAGGACTTGATGAGCAGCTCAACAAAAGTCCTTAAAATAAAAAATAATAAAATTACAATTAAACATTTAAATGCAATATGTAAAAATATAAACGTAAGTATTATTCTATGTTTTTATTAATTAGGTCAAATTTATATAAAAAAATAATGTAAACACCTAGTTCCAATTCAAATTAATAAATAACTAATTACTTAGTATGATGTAGATTTATTACAATACAATTCTTACCATATGTCTTCATGGCGATATCTTTGTTGAACTGTTCTTGATTATCTCCAAATATAGCTAATTGTTCAATTAATTTTATACAACCATCAAGTAATTTTACTGAACACTTTTTTTCAAAATTTGGACTTGGATCCAATACAACTAAATCATATACCAAACCTATCAACTGACTAATGTTTTCCATCTTAGCATGATCACAGTCTACAGTAGTTCCAGAATCATGGAGGTCACTTAATACTGCTTCAACAGCTTTTTCTAAAATATGTAGCTTCAGTTCTAAATGTGAGCAATATAACATATTATTTAAACTTAGCATATTTATGCATGCCATAACTTGACCACGTTCCTAAAAAATTTAAAACCATTGCAATAGTATTTTCATATTATTCATACGTTCAAATTAGGTACCTTCCAACAATTTTTGCTATGAATATTGACTCCTCTCCACATGACAACAAAAAGAATATTTTCTACCAATGAGCATAAATCATTTTCTTTATTCTCTGTTTTACTACTAGTAAATTCTTGCCAGTGACTATCAAACATAAAATATAATATTCACTTAATAATAGTATGTACTAAGTTTAATTTTTTTTTTATTAAATATTCAAATAAATACTTGTATAATGTGTTACAATGCTATTTTAGAACATTAATTATATTAAGTGATACCAGTACGATATTAGTACATATTCATTTAAAGGGGTGTAAAATTGTTATCAATAGTTAAGAAGACTAAAATCTAAATAAAAATGAGCTATTATACTACACTATATGAAACAATATCATCAAATTATATTATCATATTATTTAATATGAAAAAGTTTTATAATCTTAACTGCTGGACTAAACCTAAAATAAGAAACTAATATTTCGTTTCAAATTAGTTGTATTAAAAATTAACAGAATTGACGATTTAAGATATACAGTGAAACCTCCTTTAACGGACACCTCTCAATAGCGGACTCTTTCAAATAACGGACGGAATTTTGAGAACGGTGAAATGTGTACTCACTGTATTCCCCCCTTAATAGCAGACACCTCCAAATAGCGGACGACATTTAAGCGACCGAGAGTGTCCGGTATTTAGAGGTTTCACTGTATATTTAATTTATAAGACCCAAATAATTTCTTCAGCTTCAGCAATTATCTCACCTATTTATTCCATGGTTATAATTAATATTTATATTTATAACAAACAAAATAACATTTTAGGTACTAAATATTATCCATGTAACGAATGACAAAGTGAGTAACACTTTGCTGTAAATTAGGTGTCTAGAGAGTCACTGTAATGAATGACTTATATTTGAATTCAATAAAAATTGTCGATTCTGAGAGAAGAAAGTTCTTCAGGCACACTAACAATGTCAGCCTATATTAATTAGAATATTTTATGATATAAAAGTTAAATTTATTTATTTTACTTTTAGGCACCTATATATTACGTTAAATTCATTTTTGCAGAATGAATTAGAAAATGTCATTGGGTATAAAAAATATTAAAATATATTCTAAGAATTCTAAGTAACTACAAATAATATTTTTAAGTTACAAAAAAATAACTTTATTGTAACTAATATTGTTCTTAGTTTAAATATGTAATTTATGTAATTTTATCCAAATGTGAACTTAAAATAGCTATAAAAATGATGTGTTTACATATTTTTTTTAGATTTTTTGGTTATAGGATGAACTACTTACATGGAACATTGTTTTTAATCATCAATTCTTAGCTTAAATTTAATATTTTATAAATTTGTATACTACAAAATTATTTATAAATTTCCAATTTGATTAATTTAGTTAAAATTTGAACATTAAATGACTATAAAAAAAATCCTTTCTATCTATTTTTAATCTGATATTTTAACAATGTATGAGGCGCCTAATATTACATTTTTAAGTCTTTTGACCTAAAATAAAATTTTATGGACATTTATAGAATAAAATTTAAACAAATTATTTGTTGATATGAGAAATTATCAAAATATTTTGAAATTTGATTGTAATTAGAAAATGATAAAATTAACATTTAGTATAAATTTCAAGTATCTATGGTTAATTTTTTTTAAATAACAGCAAATTAATAAAATCATTCCATAAGATATTGATTGGATATCAATATCAATATGTCAAACGCTCATAAAAATTTAATTTTAGTTTCAGTTAACATTTATTTTTTCGATAAAGGTAGTACATATTATAACTTATGAACAATCTTGTATTAAATTTTCAAATCTTAGATGTTAAAAGTAAAATCTACATTAATTTCTAATTTCTAATAATTTGTGAATTTTACAAATTTTATTAAGATTTTAATTTCATAGGCTTATAAAAAATTATTGCGGATTTACTCTCAACTTCTTTTTAATTTCCACTAACAACAATTTATGAAAAACCTTGTATTACGTTTTCAATTTTTTGATTGAGCAAACATTTTTTAACGACATAAAAAAAAAAAAGCGGGTAAGTCGTGTATGTCGCTCTGCTGTACAGTAGGTTACAAGTGGGTTACTGTAATGGATGGAATTAAATTTAAATCCAATGATATTATATCATTGTATACAAAAAACGATTCTGAGGGAAGACGGTTTATCTGTCTAGGATATATTATAGATTATTAAAAATTTTCAAATCTTAGATTWAAAAAGAAAAATTTTTATGAATTTCTAGTTTGAAATAATTTGCGAATTTTCGTGATTTTTACATATGTTGTCAAAATTCAAACTTTGAATGCTTGTAAAAAAAAAATTGTGTTAGAACTAGTGGGCCATGAGGGAAACACTGGTCTGACAAACAAAAACTAAAAACACACATCATTGTAAGATCAATATATTCATTGTTCTGCTCAGAATCTATTATATTGATGTTAAAAGTTTTACCTATCATTTCCRATATTTTTTACTTAGTAGGTACCTACTAAACAAAATTTATATGAGTTTGAGAAATAATGTGATTATTTGGTGAAAGAATAATGATCTAAAAGTGTTTAGACTAAAAATTAGGATTATAAAATGATTACTTGATAGTATCAAAATCATTCTGATCACTGATTCCAACATCTTCACAAACTGTTGATGCATTATCAGACATGATAATTCCAGAACTTATCGAACGATTATCTGGCGCAGTAGAAGATTTTATTGACGATAAATCTTCAAGACTGCTAGACATAGATCTAAAAAAATATTTACATAATAAATACTTTTATAATGTATAACTACTTGAATTTAAATAGGCTTTTATTTTAAATGTATTAAATTAAACCTTTTATTCATTTTTTAATCTATATTATATGTAACATAATGAGTATTTAAAAGAGAAGAAAAAAGAGTTACATCATTTGGGGAAAGAAGCCACCCACTGATGACACTATCAATTTATATTAAATCTTGTGATATTTAATAAAGTTTTTGTTTTTAAATTAATTCATTTATTAATTTATATATATATATTATTTTAAATGTAATAAATCTTTGCACCATTTATACTTCAATAGCCTTGAGGGGGGGGGGCTGTCTATGGTTGTGAGGAATAATAAGTTCTTTTAATGAGAGGATTTGAATGATTAGATAGACAGTAATGAAATTTTCTATAGGAATGCTTGGTCATGAATAGTTTTAAAGTTACAATCCATGTTTAGACTATGGTTTGATATATATTGAACTCAATTGAAGGATTTACTTATATTTTTTAGGTCATATTTTGAGGACCGTTCTCCGACATATGATAATAACCAATATTTTCTACGACAGTCAGAGTGACCAATCATGAAAAAAAAAATGTCAAATTGTTTTAATTATTTAAACGTATCATATTAATTAAACAAATATA